TGCATCTACCCTCAAGCTTCCACATTCATATAAAACTAGGCCAAGACAGAGGTCTGTGAGATCATGCTTTAGAGGAGGGAGCAGACAAAGACTGTTGAATACAGTGACTGGTGTTAAGGCCAGAATAAAGCCTTCAAGGAAGTTGCATTTGAATTAGCATAGCGTTATAAAATAAACCCACAAAGAGAAACCAAGAGAAACAAAAGTGCACTGCTTCATGTTTAGGCATGGCTTATAATTTTCATAGCAACTGGATTACCAGTGCACCCGGTTCATCCTTCCTTTCAACATCTTCTGGCTGCACTTTATGCTCAGAACACACATAGCACATCTGGATGCTGTCTAAACAAACATGTATTTTTGCCCTGTGCTTCCACAGCACAACACTGACTTTCTTTCTTCATCCTGAGGCCTCCTGTCATCTGTTAGCAGCAGCGAGGAGTTGACAAGCTGTGTGTGTTTGTGCGTGTGTGCGCCACTAGCATGTGTGCTTGTGTGCTAACACTGGCAGAGTGAGTGCAAAAGGTGCAGTGTAACTACTGAAGTGAGGACATGTGAGTGGAAGGAAATAGACTTGTACACAGAAGGAAATAGACTTGTACACAGATAGGGGATGCCTCTTGAGGAATGAGAGGAGTTTTCATGGAGGGCAGCAGAGGGTTTGTGAATTTTGCGTCTGAATCTTTGTAAGGCTGCGTGTGTGTCGGCCTCACACAGCAGTAAAACACCACTGTAGAAGAAGAAGACCAACTTCTATCTTTATCTGTGTTTTTGCTATATCTTGTAACAATATCATTATAACTATGCATAACGCATCACCAAAGATATCTTTAACACAGAGCTCTTTCATCCGTGCCTCCATGTCATTGTGCAGTACTCCATCACAGCACATGATCTTGTATTAGGGTGCCATCTGTTGCAATTATAGTGAAGTGCAAGTGGGCAATGTAAAAGTAAGTCCAAATGCATGTCAGTGCATGGCTTAATTTTTTAATTAATTCATTAATTTATTGAGTAAATGACAAAGTTGAAGGAAGTAAGAAAATGTCTGTAGCTAAATGTTTTACTTACTTGTTAACGTCTCACTCAGCTGCAAGAGTTTAATTTCTTTGTGTTTTCTTAAATTAGCCTGCAGATCTGTAAACAGTCGAGCTCCTCTCTTCTTTCTAGATATGTCCAGCAATAACAAAGTAACAGAGTCACTAGCATGACGACTCCATAAAATGCTGCCAAGTACATTTAAATATATCAATGGTAAATGGCCTGTATTTTTATAGGGCTTTACTAGTCCCTAAGGACCCCAAAGCACTTTACACATCCAGTCATCCACCCATTCACACACTGGTGATGGCAAGCTACATTGTAGCCACAGCCACCCTGGGGCGCACTGACAGAGGCGAGGCTGCCGGACACTGGCGCCACCGGGCCCTCTGACCACCACCAGTAGGCAACGGGTGAAGTGTCTTGCCCAAGGACACAATGACCGAGACTGTCTGAGCCGGGGCTCGAACCGGCAACCTTCCGATTACAAGACGACCTGCCAACTCTTAAGCCACGACTGCCCTGTGAAGTCTTTCACATATCTCATTCTTGTCCCCCACACTTCATCTATTTCTTTTTATGGCCTCTGATTGTGGACTTGTCATGGTCTTCTTTTACTTTCCGTTATCTATGTGTGTGTGTGTTTATAATTCTGCTTGTGCGTTTTGGAATTGGAGCCTTGTCCCGGCTCGTGCACTTCTCCTGCCTGCATACCTGGAAGCGGTTCAATAATCACTCACCTGTGTGCAATCTGATGATTACTCACCCACTACCTAAGGCTAAAGAGTTCCCTCAGCTGCTGCCAGATTGTTTCACTGACTGTGGTGGTGTTATTTGGCTCCTCGTGTAGTATGGTTTTTTTTGTTGTTGTTTTTTTAGACTAACCTGAATATGTTCTGCACAGATGCTTCCAGACATCATGGGTCTGCAGAGATACACCTGTCTGCAAGAAAAGGAAACCTGCTGAGAAAGAGTTGAGGAGAGGAAGAGATGTGAGAAGGAAAGCTGTCCATCTGCTTGCCCAGAAAGAAGACATTCAAACAGTTCTCTTGTTGCAGTTCAGTGTTTATTGCCTGTGAAACATCTGTGTGTAAAAACATCTGTTGAACATTTATTCTTGGTTTCTGCTTTCAAGCCCAGATCTTGTTCATTTCATGGCAGTACTCATTACTGCTAACCGTCAGTACAGCATTCATATAATGAGAGGGACTTCTTCACATATAAATTATTGTATGTGATGAGTCCTACGCTTTTGTACCATTGGACAATACTTAACTCATTCACTGCCAGCCATTTTCAAATCAGGTAACTCCCCACTGCCAGGGTTTTTGAGCATTTTTACTCATTTTTGAAGAGCCACAGAAAACTGTGTGTTATGATCATATAAACGCTGAACCTACCAAAATGAAGAACAGACTCTCTTCTTTCATCCAAAAAAAAAGCTTGTTTCTACCATTTTCCATTCTTTAGTAATCAGCTGTAGAAGAGAGGTGGGTTCCACCAAAAATGCCTGTTTTGACCAAAAAAAGGGAGAAAACGAGCTTTTTGTGAAAAATACATTTCAAGCAGAAAAGTGCCTTTGACACTAATATTTCTTGCTTTGTGACACCTCTAACATATAAAATAGTTTTTCACTTCTATAAAACAGAAATAACACTGAGAAAGGTTATGTTTTATCAAAACAATTTATTTACAAATATATGAAAAAATAAAATGTACATAGTGAAACATTTATTCACAATGAATAATTCACTTTTGTGTGGTAATCATTATAACACTTTCCGGGATGCAAGGGCACACAACAAGACTTGCACCACATTTTTGTCTCACTGCGCAATCCCTTACGTCCCTTACAAGTCTGATATTCACTGACAAGCTGCCCGAGGTTGTATTCTAGCCCCTCCCATTGAAAAACGTAATTGACGTCTATAGACGTCAATGGCAGTGAATGAGTTAATACACATGCTTCTTGTAAGAAATGTTATTAGAATACATAATATACATTTTCATTTTTATCCATATGGCACAAATCAATGAAACTACAGGTGTGTCTTGAACACACCAAAACACAAAACTGCAGTTACTGTACTCTACCCTAAAGGGCTTAGAAACATGATGTTCTGAATGGCCTTTACCCTTGACGGAAAGGACAGGTTCTTCAGTGTGCACATTAAATAAATATGCAGGACGTCTTTCT